TTTTTTGGGATGTGGAAGGAAACTAGAGTACCTGGAGAAAACGTATGTAGGCACAGAGAACATGTAAACTCCGCACAAGGAAGGCCAGAGCCTTGATCAAACCTTGCACCTTGCACTGTGAGGCCGACGTGTTAACCAGTCGTCCACCGTGCCGCCCGGAAGTCTGTTTTCTTTCGAAAAGGCACCTTTAAAAAAAACCTCAGCCATTGATTCCGATGTCTTGGTTTGGGTGACATTGTGCTCTTATCTCTTGCCCTATCGCGGTACCGCGGGCAGGCATGTGATGTTGGGTAACATAAAGCCATAAAGCTTTACGAGAGGATCGCACAACATTGGCTTTGGTGAAAAGACGCTCGTTACCTCCGCCAAGCAACGGATTTCTGATTGGCTGCTACGTCAATCGTGGATATGTGCTTGAAAATGAGATTAGAGGCACATTGTTTTCCTCTCTCCACTCTTTCTCTCTTGAAGAAAAATCATCCTTTGGTAAGAGAATTTTATATTGAAGTTGTGCTGTGCTGAGTGGAATGTTTTTTTTTAGATACAAAAGCTCTGAAGTTGTGTCTCTCAACATACATGCCACACTGTCATGAAAACCTTTTTAGCCACCAAGAGGAAGAGAAAAAAGACAATTGCTCTTGACCAGGAGTCACCAACTCTGGTCCTCAAGTGATCCTAATCATTTGAATTTGGTGTGTTGAAGGAAAGAAAAATCGAAAAGATACAGGATAGGGGTGCTCGAGGAACGGAGTTTTTAACCCCTGCTCTAGACCTAGACCTGCTCTAGCTCTTCTGTATTTCATATTTTTTCATGAGCGTACTACTCAAAACAGTGCAACCCTGTCACTCACATGACCAGAAAAAAATATTCATGTAACCAGGTATATTTTCTCTTGAATTATGTTGCCAAGTTTGTTCATCGGTCGTTTGTTGAAGTTCACTCTCAAACTAAACATGAAAAAAAAGCACACTTGAAACAACCTCACACCTTTGCCTAAAAGAAGTCAGTTTAGCTCAGTGCTAGCAAGCAATGCAAAACGCCACAGACAGGCTAACAACTAGAGTTATAACCGTTTTAGCAATGGATATTGGAAAACAAACGATGTTGACTGAAAATAAAACAACACTCAATGGCCATTCTTCTTTATCGTCTGTGAAGATTAACTAAGGGTGTATTCTCATCTGCACTGTTTCGTCTACTTTAAACGGACCAGGCTTCACTTTTCACGCTGGTCTGGACCTTTTATGCAGGTGAGAATACACAAAAAATGATTCCTGGTGCGAATCAACAACCGGACCGAGACCCACTTTTGGAGGTGGTCTTGGTGGGCTTCAGATTAACTAAGGGTGTATTCTCATCTGCACTGTTTCATCTACTTTAAACGGAACAGGCTTCGTTTTTCACGCTGGTCTGGACCTTTTATGCAGGTGAGAATACACAAAAAATGATTCCTGGTGCGAATCAAACAACCGGACCGAGACCCACTTTTTGAGGTGGTCTTGGTGGGCTTTCGAAATGGACTCATGCAGTTTATTTCAGGTCTGAATGCAAACCATTGATGAGCCGAAACAACCTCAGGATATATGCAACTTTTTGGGCTTAGTCAGCCACCGTAGCCTGCCATTGTGGGAAATATTAGCCCGTAGTGAATGTTGGTCACACGCTCATGCAAGTTAATGCACACATTGGCCAATGATGTTCCAAAAGTTAAAAACATAGCGTCGCATTAAAATATTTTGAAAAAAGTGTAATTTTTTTTTTTTTAGGCTGATGATGAGAGTTTATTCCCAATTTTCTTGAAACCATCACAAAAATTTGCAAATAAATGGTATGTTTTTCCAAAAAAATCTTGGCACCTAAATTTTCCTCTAGTTCTGCAATGAACCATGTGCTGGAGTTTTGGTGTCTTAGTAACAACGAAAAGTCAACAAGATATTGCAACAATGCAAATGTCTCCCAAGGTGGGGGTCTTTAGTTCCTTCCAATCTGTTGAATGGCTCCATTAATGAGCCTAATGGCATGTGAGCGATACTGCACCTGAGCGAAACCGCACAGGGTGACCGCCTCACAGACTTGCACCATGGTGCGACAAAGCAGAGCGGGTAGGGAGGTAAGGGGGGGGGGGGTCATTTATGAACCATGTCTGGTCCCCGCCCACCCCCTCTGGGTGCCCTCCACACAAGGACAAAAACACGTTCATTCATTCAGACACTATCATCGACTCTTAACTTATACCAGGACGTCCATTAACCTTTGAGTGGGATTTGTATGAAATCTTTCTCAGGTATAATTATCTGAAAAATGTGTCACATATTTTGGATTTTACCAAATCATATTTTAAAGACATTGCAAAAACCACATGACAGTGGACAGCTATTGTCAGTTATGTTGGTTTTGATGCCATTTTTTGATCCCGACAAGAGCTGACCAGTGAATGGCAGCCAATGCCACGCTCGCGTCCACTGTATCAGCTGTACAGTAAAGTGCTAAACATCATTTTTACCCCTGTTAACTGAATCAGTGATGGCAATAACTCTCGAAGTTTAAATCAGGGGTCACCAACATGGTGCCTGTTCTAAAAGCGGTGATGGAACATTGTGATTTTCTAGGAATGGTGAGTCAGTAATCTTTTGAAAATATAAACACTTGCAGAGATTTCCTTGTCATGTCACTGTTGATGATTGTCACTGACAAATAAATAATTTTTAAATTATGATGATGATGATGATTATTATTATTAAATGATTTGTCACTGACAGTCAGTCTTCACAAAGATAAATAACATTATTCATAGTTGTGTGAGTAAAAGTCATGTGACCAAATTTGGTATTTCAAAAGTGTGTATTAAACTGCGGGCACTTCATATTCATCAGTACCTAAGAAGGAACTCAGTTTCAAAACGTTGGAGAGAGAGAGAGAGAGATAGTGTGTGTCTCTCTCTCTGTGTGTGTGTGTGTGTGTGTGTGTGTGTGTGTGTGTGTGTGTGTGTGTGTGTGTGTGCGTGTGCGCGTGCGCGTGTGTGTGGAAAGGACCTTCGGAATGAGTGGGCGAAGGACAAGGCTGCCGTCTTGTGGTCAGGATACTGAGCTGCAGGGAGTATTGAGGTCACACGGAAAAAAGACAGACAGACAGATAGGCAGACAGACGTTACGAGATTAAAGACATTTTTTTTTGCCACATCACAAACAACAGACAAAATTACAATACAAAAATTACAAGATAAATTCTTTTTTTCTATTTTAGAAAAAAGAAGCACACCTTTTTGTAGTTAATTTTTATCAGTCAATCAAGTGCTACTTTTTCAGCAAATAAAGACAACATTCAAAACGTTGTTTTGAATTCTATGATTGACCTGACATTTTCATTAAAACAAATAAATAATTGAGAAAATACAAATGAATCAGTTCTGCTACTGATGAGCAGTCATGCATACTGATGAGTTAAATGATGCAATTAGCTGTTTTCAACCCACACGCATTGACATTTGTTTTACTTGGCATTTTGTCTCCTTTGGCATTTTGTCCCGGAGCCGTCCGACGTTTTGGTTCATTTATTGTATTCAAATACGCCCACTCTCATCCTTTACTTGTTCTAAAAATGTTTTCCTCCTCAACTGGCTGGGAAGGGAGAAATCAGTCATTTGGATGACGAGCAGAATCTGTTGCCCTTGGCCAAAAAGTCTATGCTAAGCTAATGCTAATTGTCTATGGCAGCTAAGTATTATCTTTCCAAAGGAAAAACAAATGGAAAACTATTTGTTGAGGGGACAGTCTAAAACACTGAATGTGCGTGTAAAAAAAAAAGCTTAATGTGGCCGAAAGTTACAAAACGACGACCAATCACAACCAAAATTCACATGCACATCTTCACTTGCCTCACTTCAATATCAAAGCAATCGCCAGTGTTTTAGATTTTATCTAGTGAATGTCTATGGCAATGTTTTACAAACCACGTGTCGCGGTACACTGGTTTGCCGCAAGATATTGTCAGGTCAGAAAATTATACAATATGTATGCCTGTGCGGTCGATCGCCTGGAAGAGTAATCATGTAGTACTCTTCCATACCGGTAGGAGGGAGCAGCAGCAGCTAGGAAATTGCCTTATGCTTCGAGACAAGCGAAGTTTCCGACGCGAGGCAATACAATGAAAGGTATCTTTCATTTAGATTTACATTTACCGGAGATGCAACGGCACCAATGTTCCCTCTAAGCTGCGCAACTGCGCACTGGTCGCACACTCTCAGCGCACAAGAAAACCTATCCAGCGCAGTGAACGCACTGCAAATTAATTATCTATGTAACTTTTAATTCTGTATCAATTTGCTGTATAATTCAGTGAGTGACAGGTGTCCAGGCAATCACACATACGATGCGATGACGCTGTGCAGTCAATCACAGCATTGACAGTACTCGCGGATGTTCTTTGCTCCATAACAATAACCGCGGTGGCGGCGATAAGTGACGCTAATGCTAATCCTTTATCATGGGGAAACGACCGGGCAGTGAACATGATACGTCGACTCCCCAAACCAAAATAAGAATGAACTGCTGTTCTTTTAAATTGGAATGGCTGTCGGAGTATGTGTAAATAGAAGAACAAGCAGTGAAACTGGGTGAGATATTTTCTTTTTCGAGTGAGAAAGGTCTGCTCAGCAAAACATGGAGCAAATCTTAAACTGTAAGCAAATTTTCCGAAGGAAAAATACGGACTAAATGGAAGCTGGACTACCTCAAGCGACACATTCAGCAGAAAAGTCATTTGAATGATGTTGGAATTATACAAAGACTCAAGATGGGAAAAGGGATTGGCACAATATTGCGGGAGAGCGCAAACGACCGGGAGAAAAAGGCTGTCACACAGAAAAAAATCCGACCCTTGAGCAAGTTAAAGTTCTAATTGACGATATTTTACTTGCCATTAAAACGAATGCACCAAATATTGGATTGATGTTTATTTAATTCCTAAATAATAATTCAGTGCAAACAACACAAAAGACCAGTTTATAAGTCAACAATTATTTTTATTTCCTCGTGTTTTCTATGCTGTTTTGGTTACAGCTAATTGTAAATGATGAGCGACTGTTCCCAAGCCGAATGCGCTTTGTGCGAGGAGCAGCTGCAATATTTACAACAGCAACAACAACATGCCGGAGGCAAACGATTCGTTAAGGAAGAGGAAGACTTCCTTTTTGAAAAGAAAAACAAGAAAAAAAAGGAACAGTAACGTTTAGCTTGTGTTAGCATTGCATTAAACAAGTTATTTGGATACAACGAGGTACAAAGTCAAAATGCTTGGTCTTTGCAGACAGAACTAAAACGCGGCGAAATGTTAAACCACATCAGCGCCTGACCCAAGCTAGCTGCAGACTTTTTAAACGAAAAATCTTTCAGGCTATATCCAATATGTCGTGTGTGTTGGTTTTATTAGCATACGTAATGAAAGATAACAGAATTCTCCCATTCATTAGGAAAACATGCAGAAACATAAAATGGTAAAAAGTCTCGCAAAAGGCTCATTCAACAAGGCTGATGTTTGTGGCAACAAACTAAAGTGCTTAAGAACATTTTTTTCACATTATGGGGGAAGTAGTCACACAAACGTATGAATCAGAAAAGTTCAGATATCCTGTCCCAATAAACAGATTAGCGCTCATCATTAAGATGTGATGTTTTGATGCAACGAAGAAAATAACTGCTCTAATTAAGATAGAAAGATGTTTCAAAATGATGATGATATTCGTTGTTCAAACAAACTATAAAAGGTTCAGATATACTCAACCAAAGTAAAGCTCAGTAGCTGTTCCGTTGTTAAATATATGAGAAAATATAAATATATTTGCTGTCATTGTTAAGATGTTATGAAGTTTTTATATGCAGATTTTTTTTTACCGTTCACATTCATCAACAAAAAGCATATTAATCTAAATGCTACAACCATTTGCTAGAAGATATCTGAACTTTTATTTAAAAATAAAAAAATTAGCCCAAATCATTAGGATGAAACGATGATTCAATACGATGAATATTTGTGATAGCTATGACATTAGTCATCAAATTTCAAAGAAACATGGCGAAATGTATTCATCCAAAGTGGAGCACTGCAATTGTTAATTGCTATGATGTGGCATTGTTTTGACATGACAAATTCGAAAACTGGTCAACAACGGTCAAAGAAAATGTTCATCCAACTTTTTTTTTCTTCATGTAAACAAATTAGCACTAATTGTTGTAAGAATCACGTCCATCAATACTTTTCAAATAAAAACTAGCACGTTCTACAGCCTTCCCTTGTTACACGATCAGCGGCCACCATTTTAACTGGCCAACACCATGGAATTGAGTGAGGTTAACAAAAATTAGAAGTACGAGTTGCATTGAACTGGCAACTGATAACTCATGTCACGTAGACGAAATAAAGATGTCGCGCATGCAGCGCTGCATCATTACATCATGTTGTCATTATTATTAGAGAATGAGATGCGTTAGCCTCAGATAGCTTTGAGGAGCAAAAACATAACCAAAAGGGAGGGGAACAAAGGATAAAAAAAAAGGTCTTAGCCCGACTTGAAGAGCAAGATGGCGACTTGGCCTAAGTAGAAGTAGATGAAATGTTTGGTCTCGTGTGTCACGTAGCTGCCGAAGTTTCGACCCACGATGCAGTGCCAAGTGGGGTTATACTTCTTGTCAAATTCCTGACAAAACACCAAAAGACAAACATCAGCAACAGTCACTACAGTGGACAGCTGTTCAAAAGCAATTTTCTCCTCTATGCATGAGCCTTTCTGTGATATGTATATGTGAAGAAAAACATTATTGAATAACTGACCACTGTAGTGACTGATGCGGTGTGTTGACATCAAGACAAAACCATACAAGAAAGAGCTTTTTCAATGGCCATCTGTAGTGATTGATGTACAACTTTGACGTCAAGGCTCACCGATACAGTTGAAACATTGTAGTGACATCAAGACTAAACGATTCAGAAAAACACTATTTGAATACCCATCGACTATAGTGACTGATGTTTGACATTCAGACTAATGCATATAGAAACATGCTTTTGAATAGCTGTCTGTTGTTGTAGTAAGTGAGGAGAAGCATTTTATTTGACTTTCTTGAAAAGTGACTCAGCGTCCCTCCAGTCACCTTCTTGATGTAGGCTGCAATGTCCTTCTCGATGTTGTACTTCTCCATGGCCTGCGTGGCGCAGTCCACGGCGTCCTGCTGCATGTCCTCCGACATGTCTGCGTTCTTGATGACGGCCTTCCTGTCAGTCATGACGATGACGAGGTTGAGGAAGAGGATGTTGGAGCCTGGGAGGAAGAGGGAGTACGCACATTATGACGGCGTGGACGTCAACATACACACACGCAAAAATGACACGTTAACCAAATGCAAGACTGTTTGAACGGCTGAGCTAAACATGTAGCCTCTCGCTAAAAACATAGCCAAGTCGTTACTGCGTTTTAAAACTTCCTTTTAACGCGTCACAGACATGACTTGGGGAAACTTGATACAGGTGGAGTGACATTACTTCGCCAAATCAATTCCGCAGAGAAGCACATTCAGTATTCACTATTGTCTAACAACCGTTATACACGTATCTCACGAGGTTTGTAAATAAAAACGTCAAACAGTAAACATTCAATTCAGTCTAGCCCTTCAAATTAATAAAAAATATGAGCTTACCTTTGTTTGAGAGGAAAGGTAACGAAGCGTCCCAAATTCGAGCGCTGGTCGGAAAGTTTGTCTTTTAATTGCCGTTTGTTTTTTTTTTTAAGCAAACTGGTCTTCGAGTGGATAGGAACGTTTGCGCCACTCTCGCTTGCTCTAGCGACCCGCCCCGCCCCTTCATTGAAGGCTAGGCTTCCTATTGGCCAATCACACCGCCTCCCCGCGCTGTGCGGGCGTTTTCCATCAGCCGGTCTATGTCGGCATTTTATTTCCTCCCACAATGCAACATTGGACCATGACGTAAAAAAACATTCTCTTTTTTTTGATAAATTTAGACTAAATTTTTAATAAACTCACTTTTTTTCAAATCTATATCAGGGACAATACATAATGATCAAAGTAAATATAGCAGTTAGCTAGAAGGCTATTTTTCACAATCATAAGGTAAATGTCACCCCAAAAGAATACGCGTATACACACACACACACACACACAAATATATATACCAGAGGCGATTGCTCTAAGATTGCACGGGAAGCTCAGCTTCCCCTAAAATGTCAAAAAACAAGTAATCAAATATATGTGTGTACATACAATTGTGTGCAGATGTCATTGACTAAATATGCGCTACAACGCGCTCAACTTTTGTTCCGAATCAGCTTCTTATTAATGGTTACAATGCGACTCTCTTCTCATTCATTCCCACAGCTTCACTGTGCTTTAACCTGTGTGGATGCTGAGCGTCTGCAGCGTGGACACTGGGCGTCTAGAGCAGTGTTTTTCAAACTTTTTTGAGCCAAGGCACACTTCTTTCATTGAAACAAAGAAAACAGTATTTTATCATCTTTCATATTTATTGTTTCAAGGTCGTCCTGCATTCATGCGTCACAAATTCGCTTTCTCTCGTCGCAACACAAGACAATTGGCTAGCTGTTGCTGCTCCCTAGCGGTATGGGAGGGTACTACATGATTACTTTCTGGGCGAAAGACCGCACAGGCATACAAATTGGATATTTTCCCGTGGCACACCTGACAATGTCTCTCGGCACACCAGTGTGCCGCGGCACACGGGTTGAAAAACACTGGTCTAGAGAGTTCAGTGTGGGTTGTCCCAATGCATTGAAACGAGACGAGTCATTGGATAAATGTTGGTTTTGTCTCGCCCACCGGTCGCTCAGCGTGTCTGGGAGTCTATGGACAGTGGGCGTTTATGGGCTGGCCCGGACGCTAAGATTTTCTGCATGATGATTGGATAATCTGTCTGAGGCTGAATCTCTTTTGATTGACAGCAAAATGAGCCAATCAACGATTTTTTGGTGTAGGCATCGGTGGAAGCATTTTTCAATTCTTATTCTGTTCTGAGTTGAACGGGAGACTTCTTCTAATCATTTTAGCGACACTCTCTTTGTTGAAAACAACTAGCGACAAATTAATCTTTTATTTCTGGTGGGTTTTATTGTAATTGCTTGTGTTCGCAGACTGACTTAAATCACCACAGGGTCACAGATCATTTTCTTGAAAAGGAACGGAGAGTAGAATTCACGTATAAATGAACGGACACATTTTATGATGTAGGCCGAAATTGAGCTTCCCCTCCTTGACCAGCATCCGCCACTGATATATACATATATACATAGACATGCACATTTTTAAGACCACCTTCATCAGTGTGCTAGCTTGTTTTTCAAAACATCGCTTGCCTGATGCAGTTGCTACTGTACAAGCTTACTGCCACAAATAAAATCAAGGAGGCATTATGGGTCTTCTTGAAGATGTTTTATTGAAAATGCTAGAAGAAAAAAGGATTAAGCAAAGAAATCAACATTCAAACTAGTACCCCATATGAAACCCTCCCCAAATTTTCCCCGCATACCAGGCATCTACGATTCCATCCTTTGATCCAACTTCCTGGTCCTCAGTTTTTCTCGTCATTATCACTGAAAGACTTCATAAAAGATAGGCAGATGGCAGGCTATTAAAAAAAAAAAAAGTTTTTAAAGTTGCTCCGGGAGGTCCCCTATTAATTAGTTCTGAAAATTTTGCTGGGAAATCCTGGAAAACTGATCCCGTTCCCGAGCATCCATCCTTGCCTATAATCCCTTTCCTAAAAATCGATCCAGCTCCAAAGGATTGCGATCCACTGAGCCACTCCTCTCCAATCAAAACCTTGAAATACCAGGAAGAAAATCAGAGGCAGACCATTAGAACACAATGTACAAAAAAATTGGGGGCAAACAAAAAAAAATCAATTTTTTTTTTTAAATGCAGAGAGCAGGTAGAAAAAAATTCCCTAACACAAGTCAGATTTTTCATTTACACATGACAGCAAAGATGTTACACATATATCACAACACTTTTTGTCTGTGTCACAGGCCAAAGAGGCGTGTTTCAAGTCTATGACATGCACGACAAGAATAAAGCAATGACAAGGATTGACAGAATGTGAAGCATACCATGGCCTCCATTTGATGTCCTATCCTGACCATACAAATGAAATGTGCTCCACCACAATGGGTTTTTATTCCAAATCACTTTAATCCTTCTCTTCAGATGTCTAAAGGAAGACACAAGGTAAAATATAGTTAAAGCGTTGGTGTCTCTGATGAAATTTCCAATGACAACAATCCACCCACCTTTTTTTTTTTTTTTTAAATCTCAAAACATTTTGTGGCTCAACATTTTTGCACGTTCTTTTTTTTGTTGGGGGAGGGACAACTACATACCAAGCCCATCTAGAAGGACAAAAAAAAAAAAAAAAGAAATCGGAAAAGTGTTGGGGTTACATCTAGGGTTGCAAAATTCGGGGATTTTTTTTTAATGGTAACTTTCCAAAGGAATTAATCGAATTTGTGGGAATGATCAAGAGGACTAAAGCAGGGACTTAGTAACCTGCGGGATGGCTCTCGATTAACTTAAAAGTGGTGTGGAATTGTATTTTACTACAACCATACAACTGGATTTCTTGCAAATTAAGTTTAAAAAACTGCAAATCTTCAATATAGATTATCTAATTTTATTGGGAAGGGACAGAGGGGCTCTTCTGATCAAAATGGGGAGTTTGCACGGACATTTTTTTTGGGGGGGGGCGGGGGGTCAAATTTGTTTAACTGGTCATCATGACTTGATTGACAAGTAGCACATATGATTTGTCGGTTGGGGCAAATTCAGCCATCTGTTTTGGCTCCAATTTGATATAAAAGATACCACTGCATGTCTGACAAAAACAAGAGAAAGAAGCCTCTTTCAAGATAAACACCCTATTTGCAAATGACAAACTCCCTTTTAACATTTTAAATTGGCCTTTTGTGGTGATGGGACATTTTTTTGTGTTTGGTCAGAAGGCAACGTAACTTTTTTTTTTTGTTGTTCTTCAATGACTCCCAAGAAGTGACTGTTCGATAAAATGTAACTTGGAAAAACAATCTAGCCACAAATAAAATCAGTTGAAATGCTAAACTGTATTATTCTGCATGAATGTCTGCTCATGACGCAACAAAATGGTTGATAAAAACACCTTTGCAAAATTCCCGCATCTTGACTTCCGATGGAAATTTACCGGAAACTTCCTAGAAATGTGACAGAATTCCACGCCCCTTTGCAACCCTAGTTACATCACAGGG